GTGTGTTTCTTCATCACCGTGCTGTGTGGTGGGGGGGGGGGGTGGGGTCACTGTACTAGAATTGAAATGTTGTTCCGAAGTCAACTTCCAAATGTGACAAGCGAGATTCAATTATTTACACAATCTGTCGGTTTGTGTCAAACAGTAGCACCAGCATAAAGGAGCCAAAGGGCCCTGCATCAGGTGTATTCACCTGTTCACCTTGTTGTTGAGGCTGCGTGTTGTCCTTTTGTGTTTTTCATCTACCAACATGCGATACATGCCGCTACCTTGTGCGTCTCAAATGAAGATTTGAGTTGATAGACTGGTATCAAAGATTGCTCCCATTATATGATGCCTGATCTAGGTTTTTAGTCAGTTTTACAATAGATATCTTAACATTGGATCATTGTATCCCAAGTATCAAATCGGAATACTTGAGAGTATTTGGAGGCACCTTTTGTCAATTTGGGAAAGGGTGTAGCCTTCACGAAAAAAATGGAATGGCCATAAAATTGCGTCGGGTTCATCTCAACCTTTAAACTCAATATGCAGTTTTTACAAGAACGTTCTATGCCAAATGTTGAAACTGAAGAGTGTGTAATGCTTTCTTGTGAATGGCAAAATTACAAATGGGTTTTCTGAATGAAGAACATGATACAAATGTATTCTTATATTGACATGACGAGAAAAGGCTTCAGGTCAGCCCAGCACGAGATACACAAGTTTGCTAATGATGGCCTGTAACGAGTTGACATCACCTCCACATCAGTTCTTTACAGTTTGCCTCTTGTTATTTCTCCCTGCGTCCCTCTCGCTCTCTTTCTCTCTCTGAGGACTTAACATTCTTTCCGCTCTGCAGTCACTGTGTATTAAGTGGAGCTTTTGTCACACGTTACTCCTCGTCTGTGACAGAACACAGCACACTATCTTTCTCTCTCCTCATTCCATTATTCTGCACACTTTCACTCCATCTTTGGCTTCCTCCTCTTTTTCCATCTGTGAATCCCGGCTGCCGTGCCATCTCCGTTGCTCTTTTCTCTTGCCTTCACTGCCTCACTCCTGCTGCAGTGCTTCAACGTGCCAGTTAACTCTCACTCTCCAATCCTTTGTTTGGCTAAGCAGCTTGAGCTGCGCAATTTTGTTTTCTGTGGCAGCTCTTTGAACTTTCATCGCAAGACTGTTGCTCAGCAGAAATGGAACGCTCTTAGCAACGAACTTTAGCACTGCTGCTCAGAGCACTCCTGCTCTGCTGGCTGTTTATTTTATGCCAATAAGGGAGAAACATTTTTGCAAAAAAAAAAGTAATTCATTTCAACTGCAGCCCCAATCACTGTGCTTCTGTAACTGTAGGATTAAAAAAAGTTTAAACTATGTTTCCTCTGAGGAGGAGATGAATTGTGTAACTTTTTTGTCTTGGCTGGTCAGTGCAGTGGAGGTGTGGTTAAGTACTCAAAGTATAAAAGAAAAAAAAAGATTCATGACATCACTTGTTCATTCATTCTTGTCCACAGCAGCATCATGTTGCAAAGTGTCCTCTCCCCCGCCCCTCACTTTGGAGCCAGGGGTGATTGGGAAGAAAAATTAAATATAAAACATTTAGACTTGTAAAGGAAACTGGAGAACCGTCTAACTCCCCTGATTGAGTTCTGGGGAACAGATTGCTCAGCTGAATTTGAAAGTAATGTGTTAAAAAAAACTCCTTTAGTCACAAGACCTCTTTCAATCCTCTGTATGCATTGGGGAAGACAAAAGATCCAAATAAAAATATGTGGGAGATAAATACAAGTGGACTGCAAGTGATTGACATTTGGATTGTCCAGAAGCTTGGACATGTCGTGGTGGTAACGCCTGATGAAGGTTAAATCTGACATCATGTCAGTAAGCATCACAGGCAAAGTGAAGTCCTTAATCTCCTATTGAGCTATCAATCTTTCACTGTCAGTGTTTAGACATTTCAGTGCTAGTCTATTCGCTTTCTTCAATTTTAGCAATAATGGATAAAGATAATGTTTAATGATTGTCTTTGAATTATAGTATTCCTCAACCATCTTTTAATAATCGATTGATATGATTTATTTTTAGCCGACTGTGAAGTTGACATTGACTGATATACCAGTATATATTAGTCAGACCTCACAAATTGAACAAGTAAAACAACAAACAGTACATTTATGTTTTTCTATAATTTGTCCAGAGTTTGGTGATTTTCATTTTTGGAGTTAAAGTATAAATTGTATAATGTGTCTTTCAAAGAAACACATACAATTGAAATATGAATTCAGGAGTACATGAAAATGTGGATAAAGCATTATTTCCACGTACTTTGTGGTAGATTAAGTTGAGGAACTACACAGAATGGAGGATCACTGGTACACCGTTTCCCTGGTAGCAGGGAAGTGCCAGAAAAGTTTCCAACAAGGAAAACCATTCATTCATTGATTCACTGATTCATTCATTTACTTTAGTGCTGCTGAAGACAGCTCAGAGTTGCACTGAACGTGAAGAGAGTATTAAACACAACCTCTCTTTTAAATCAACGCTCTTTCTTTTTGTTGTAAAAACAAAAAAAAACAAGGAGGAAGTGGAAGAAAAGTTGGAAGAGTAGGAGGAGGAGGAGTGTGCAGGTTTGTGGGGATAGTAGAGAGGGGGAATGGGACAACAGAGGGAGAGGGAGGTGGTGGTGTGACATGTGACTGTCCATTCACATTTCTCAAGAGGTGTGGTAATAGTCGCTGGTAGCAACCAGGCGAAGTTCCAGGCCTGTGTGTGTGTGTGTGTGTGTGTGTGTGTGTGTGTGTGTGTGTGTGTGTGTAAGAGAGTGAGAGCACAGTTGAATGAGCAGCTTGTGAATTTGGCTTTAGATCCTGGCACCAAAAAAGTCCACTCATTACAAATTAAGTTTGCCAAAAAAACTGTTGATATGAGGCTTTGGTTTCACCAAACCTAATTGTCGATCATGTAGAAAGTGGGTCAGTTTTACATGGATTGTAAAGTAATTTTG